ACCCGCGTCTCCTGCATCGGCAGGCGGACTCTCAAGCACTGCGCCACCAGGGAAGCCCTGATGTGCCTTTTTTTTTGACAGAAGTGACATTTATGATAAAACATGTATTTTATTTTATCACATAATTATATGCCTTGATTATGAGTCTTTTATCATCTATTGTGCTGAGAATCCCTTCCATATAGAAATACATGTCTTTCAGTTTTAGGGAAGTTTTCTTATAATTTATATTTAAATTTCTTCCCTTTTATGACTTTTCTCTCCTATTTTCTACCTCTTTTGTCTTTCTGTTCTGCTTTCTAGAAATTTCTTCAAATTCTTCTATTACATTTTTCATTTTGATTCTTTGGGTTCATTCCTTTCTCTTCTCTTTCATCCTGGAAGATTTCTTCAAATATCTAGTAATCATTGGCTGTCCACTTATATATTAGAATGAGGAGTTAAAACCTGATGGACATTTTATTTCAAGGTATATACCCAAGAGAAAGATATATAGATTTCACTAAATAATGTGTACAAAATGTTCCTAGAGGAATTATTTATAAAAGCCCCAAATTGGAAACTACCCATCAACAACAATCAGAAATTGCCCAGCGGCAGTAGAATGGATAATAATTGTGGTGCTATAGTGAATAAACTGCAGTTATGCAACAACATGACTGGATCTCACATACATAATATTGAACCAAAGAAACGTAACATTGAACAAAAGAAATTAGACCCAAAACTGTATGTACTGTATAATTTCATTTATGTAAGCCTCAAAATAGGCAAAACTTAACCTATGGTGCTGCTATAGTAGTAAGGATACAGGTTACCTCTGTTGGTAGCAGTGACTGGAAGAGCATGTGATGGGGAGCTTCTGTGTTACTCCTAATGTTCTATTTCTTGATCTGAGTGTTTATCACATGGTTATGTTCAGTTTGTGAAAATTCCTCAAGCTGTACTCTTATAATTCTGAGGTGGGTGGGTGTGTGTGAGTATAGGTCCCCCACTTTTCAGAAGTTTGCTTTACACCATTTCGCTTTTACGAAAGACCTACATTAGTACCTGTCTTCGCTAACCGAAAAAATCCAAAGAGGATTTTTACTTTTCCGAAAAAAGGTGAAGAGCATAAACAGCGTTCAGTGATCTCAGGGAGCTCTTGCAGAGGCAGCACACACCCGAGCAGGGAGAGCAGCACCACCAGGCTCCTTCCCCAGGAACACACTCAGCATCTCAGCATCAAGCCCCCACAGCTTTGAAAGGTGTCTGTGAGCATCTGTGCTGTATTTCGATGTGTTTTGTGCATCTGTTAACAAGATGTGTCCTACGGTAATTGCTTCTTCACAATTGCCATTTCGGCTTATGAAAAGTTTCATAGGAACACTCTACTTTTGGATAATGGGGGAAACCTGGTAACTCATATTCACTTTATATGTTTTATTTTATTAACACATAGACAATGGTTTTACAGGAAAAACTCGGGATTTGGAAGTCATGACAACCTTGCTGTATATTATGACTCAAAAGCAAATTTGTGAATTATCTTTTGTGTTTAAAAATCCTGGTTTGCCTAACAGTTTTGTTTCATTACTATTAATAAGTATAACTGTTTTAAAAGATGAATTTTAATTTCGTGCTCAATCAACACTTGTACATTCTAGTTCCTGATCAAGTTTTTAAAATTAGATATTTAACCATTAAAAGTATTGTAAAAATTAAACGTTAGAGTAATTTGCTATTTCTCTAGTCTAGATATTGAGCCAATATTGATCTTTGGTTCTGTTTAACTAAAAGATGCAGCCAAACAATTTCTTTAAAGTGAACCCTATGTTTCTATCCAATTAACTACAAACTGTAGATTTTAACAACAACAAAAAAAGTTTTAAAACTCTAAATGTAATAAAATTAAATCTAAGAAGGAATCAAATTTTGATAATTAGACATTTCAGGGGCAAAAATAACCCTTTGGAAAAAATATGTGCACTAATTTTTGAAATATGCATAATATTCATGGAATAACAATGATCTTGTACTACATTTGAAATCAGAAATGAAAATTTTAGAAGTAAAGATATCACTGAATTATATTCTAACAGACATAGGCCTTGTGGACATTTGCAGCAGTACGATTCTAACTAAAGAAGCTTAAAGTGCCTTAACTTTAAAGCCACATTAATTTTTCTACTTTCTTGGCTTTCTAGACTTTTCACCTACAATGTTATAGAATCAGAATTAGCATTATCTAAAGGTAAACACCAAATTATGAAAACCTCCCTCAGCAATAGAAACACATTCATTCATTCACTTAGTCAACAAATATGCAATGTTTCTTCCGTATGCCAGATAAGCTACTTGAGCTAAGCACAGAGCAATAAGGAAGTCAAAGCACGGCTCTATCTTCAGAGTGTGCATGCACAAAAGGGAAAACAGACAATAAAGACAAATGTTTGAGGGTTCCTCAGGAAAACACCCCCTGAACTTCCCTCACCATTTTTTGGACAAAAATCATTAAGAAATTTATGACCACTGTTCTTGAGCCAGGTAAGACAGTCGCTAGATACTTTTATATGTGTCTGTGCTGAGGGAGAATAAAAAACACATGCCATGCTTTTGTTTTAGGATCCTTCTGCTTGATCCTACATATTCTACAGTATGTATAGTAAGAGGCAACATGTGCACAGCACTACTCTAAGCACTTTACATAAACTTATATTAATTTGTTTAACTCATTTAGTCCTCACAACTGTCCTGTGAGACAGGCACCTTTATTATCTTCACTTTACAGATGAGGAAAACAAGGCACAGAGACTCTAACCCGTTCATTCTCACTACAAACCACTACACATCCTGCCTCTCACTATACAGTACAAAATGCATTCCTAATCAATGTAGGGAGAGAGATTTTGAGATAAACAAGATTGTATGCCTCTGAAAGGTTCCATGGGATTAATAAACCCTGGGAGCTGTAAGTGAATTTCCTTATTGGCCACAACCTAGGGCCACAACCTAGCAGCCCACAATAAAACTGTAGGAGAAAATTGGGATACCCCTGCACTGGTTGCTACAGCAGTGGTCTGGAAATTTTCTGCAGAGTCCAGAAAATACTGTCTGTATTCAGCCCTCTCTATTGTTTGCTCCCCATAAAGCTGTGTAATATCTTCAAAGCTCAGAACCACCTGAC